ATCAACGAAACACTCAGCGAAAGACCCCTCTCTTCCCTGCGTCGTCCCGCTAGACATCAAGCGAGCTCTCAACGGTATCCAGATGTCTTTTTGCTCCACTCTCCATTACGCACAGTGCTAAACCGCCGCGACAGCCATCGCTGAAATCAGCGTCACGATTCTCCTCTACTTTCTCCAGTCAATATTTTTTTCACTTTTCTTTGTAATTTATCGCAGGCCTATCGATACCGTCTATTCGAAGTAAAAGGATTCTGCATCTGCGCCATCAACAGATGCACACGATGCGATACATTTAATGATACATCTGAAACGGATTAGAAGCTGAGGATGAACGGGATATAGAGTAGCGTGTTCCGATAATTAACCTCTTTTAGAGCATTTTCGAGCGCAATTTACTGCGCAATCACGATGCAGGTTAATTACGCGTATGATTGTACCGTGTATCTTTATTACAGAGTCTTGCATGCGCGTCCATCGGTAGCCTGGAGGCGATTCGATCGTGATGATCGTTGCCGGAACGATCCTCTTTGAGTCGGTATCGTTGCGATTCGATTATTTATCGTGACGTTTCGTTACATGCGAACTTTCTCGGTTTGAAGGTACATGTATTTTCTTCTTCGACTGTAGTTCACGTCGGAGATTAAGATGCAGGCCAATTAGGTCGCCCATTATGATTCTATTAATCGAAGGAAGCTGTGTACATGTAAATCGTCTCTAGTATCCTGGATTTTATTGAGACTAGTAGACCCGGTAGCATCTCGAAAGTGAAAGTTATATTTAATTTAATTTAATTTAATTTAATTTAGTTTAATTTAATTTAAAGTTAACGGGAAAATGTCCTTTTTTTACATAGTATAGAACAATATGTCGGGGTAACAGAAATTTTGAGATATATTAACACTAATGTGCCACGACCGGTCATATGACCAGTTTTAAAATTTGACTAAAAATTCAGCATTCTTACACTGTTTGGTTAATCAATCTTTCGTTTAATTTGTTTTATAGCCAGTTATTTCATCAGTTACTGTAGGGATAGGTGCATATAAAGTGCCGGTATGTATATGAAATAAAAAATAAAGTAGAAATCTTGTACACTGTAACAGTTTCAGAGTTTTTAGCTTTGAAACTCGCTAATTACGAAAGAATTGAGCCTAAATTAATTGTAAACAACAAATACGTACTATTGAAATAATTAGCTACACTGCGCATTTCATAGTACTCGTAATAGCATAGTACACAATACAGTAAATAATTTAAAATTCAAACTAGTTTCTATATTAATATCACGGTAATAAAATTCATAATAGAAGAAACTTACTTAACCCCAGCTCGCAGGAATTAATGGAAAAAATTGTTCGCTGTCGTTTACTGATGAGAAATTGAAATGAAAAACACTCACAACCAAGACTACAATTGTTATCGAATCTCCTAGAAGAAAATAGCTTCTAGAATAAAATAGTTATTCGTTTCTCAACGTTGCGTTGAGAAAATGAAAACCATTAGTACCAGCATGGAACGGTAAAAACGAATAAGAATGACCTTATTTGCCCCGCTGACAAATACACGCCCACGAAAAACGGGTTTCTCAAATCTCAAAAGATGTTTCATCCACGACAAAAGAGTCGCTACAATTTAGCACGCCGTTTTGTCGTAAGAAATTCGCGGGAACACCGTTCGTTCAGCTCCACTGAAAACGACGTAACCCCTAAACGGATGTTGGACCAGCGGAGTATTGGCGTAGCCGCAAACCAACGTCGAGAGGACGCGGGTTGCGCGGCGAACTCTCTCGGCTCAGCCATGAAAAGACTTTGCATCGCGTTTCGCGCGGTCCTCGCGGCAATGCGCCGCAACTCATGCCGGTGTACCGCGGATCAGGCCGAGAAGAAGAAGAAAGAGAGGACGAAGAGGACGAAGAGGAGGAGAAAAGGGAAACCAGAGATCCCCCTTCGCCTTCCTCCTCATCGACGTCGCAGGAACTCTGGCTCACAGGCTGGAAATAAATATCGCGGCGACGACGAGAACCTTCTTTCCTTCTCGAGTTTCGTGGTCGATGGTACTTTGGCTTGGTTCTTTAATACCCCGCGATACACAGCCTCGTGTTTATTGATGTTTATACGGCGCAGGCTAACGTTACCGCGTCCTGGAATGATTTATACCTACCTGCGAAAGCCTAACCCCGGAACCGATTTCACGCGGTTGGAACGATCAGCGGTTCGGCCGAGTCTAATTGATTTAGTGCTACAATTTGTTTGACATCGTATGTTTGATCCATTTTCCAAGGGGAATTAGAGCAGAGAGTATTTTTCTAGGGTCGAATAAAGTTTCTTTTATTTAATTTAATCACTTATTTCGTTACTGGTTTGTCTTGTCTAATGTTTAATCGGTTATAACGCCCTAACGCATGCTGTACTAGTAACATCGGAAGATCAGTGTTGGTAATTCAAAACATAGTTCATTCTTAATTCTACATTGTTTTCTAAATTATTTTTCACTGCGATATAGAAGGAACGAATAATATTCCTGTTTAACAAATACAGTTCTTTACTGCTTATCATACTCGACGTTACAAGGGATTCAATTTATCCATTTCACCAAATAATCCGGTCGCATAACACATTATTCAAAGAGGAACAGCCTAATGAACGGCCACGACACAAAGCACCAAAGGTACCGTGTATAAACAACCTAGAAAAGAGACCGGAATCCCTTTAAACCGGTGTCCAAACCCCCAACACCGCCTCCTCTCGTACCGAGGCACAATTTGATTTTCCCTCGGCTGTTCGTTAAACATTGTCCCGTTAATTGCCTTATTAATATATATGAAAATTACGATACAACGTACCGCTTACAGTAATCGAAGGGGCGGGTTCGGGGCCGTTCCGGGTCGTCGGCTCGGCCAAAAACAATGCCCCGTTAAATCAGCGTTTATCGTCGCCCGCGACCAACCGTGTGGGTCGATAAATTAAATCGAGCTCCCCGCGCCGATTTCAATCGGCGCGAGCGCGACCTCGTTACAGGGGAAAGTTCCGTGCTAATGTCAGTCGCGGCTGAACACCGTTTTGACTTCTAAATAGCAGTCACGGTGTCCGGCCAACGAACCGTCGACGACCGAGCCGTCGCTGCCAAGAAAAACGAAAGAAATGGGTATCCTGGAAAATACGCTTGCACTGACCACGTGTGCGACCGTGCACCGAGGGTACTTTTACGAATCCCGCTCGCGCGCGTCACGCTCGCTGCAACGCGCGCGGCCGGGCGTGCTCCAACCGGAGCTTTCCCCGGCGACTTTTGTATCGGCGGCGACGCGACGCCATGGAAAGCCAATTGTCGCGATGTCGAGGCGAATGCAAAAACAGGAGAGGAACGTGACACTGATTCAGCGTTACGGAGAAAGCTGCCGCGAAGGCATTAGTTACGCATTCCGGGGATCGGTTCTTTCTGTTTTGTATGGAGGCGGGATGAGATCTGATGAAAATCGAGAGCATCGGTGGATTGAACTGGGTTCAGAAGTGTAGTGTCTAGAATTTGTAGCGTAGTTTTAGGATATTTTTAAGATTAGTCAATGCGAGAATGAGTGTGTGCGAAGAGCAATAAAAGAGCAACAATAACGGTCGAGGGAAAGTGGTCTGCACGACGTCGCAGGCTCAAGGTTTCCAGTTAGGCTTCGAAGGGGTGTGTTTGAGAGTTCGGTGAGAGTATGAGTGAGAAGAATAACTGTGGGGGAGAGAATGATTTTTACCTAAAAATATTAACCTATCGGTTCGTAGAACCAAACTAAGTTTATTCATTTGTGTTCATTCTAATCATTTAGTTTTATTTTTGTTATTATCTGCTTAGAAATGGAAAAATGGAACGATCGCACTATTTAACATTTTTTAATGCAAAAGTAGGTATTTTTCGACTGGATTTTTGCAAAGACCCGTGGCACTCATACGGTTAATAAAGTATTACTGATTGTAAGGATTACTAATTGCTTCTGAATAAATTATTGACACAACGTTATCGTTATTTTTATACATTACGCGTACGATACGTCATTCACGATTTATATATTTGAATTTAGGTAACCCGTATGTAGAATACGAATACATATACTTGTTGGACTCTAGTTTTTTTCTTAGCTCTTGTGATCCGAACTGATAAATATAGGTAGTGGGGAGATTTGGTAAAATTCTATTATATGAGCCATTCAATTATATAAATAAACTATCGTGTCTTCCGTCTTACAGATGCATATATACAGAGTTCCACTGTATATATAGTGTTTCTTAAATCTTGTGGAGACTTGTTACAGTTATTTGATAAATAACTATTGTCAAAGGAAAAGATATCAATTGCTACATTCTAACACTATATTATTTAAATGAATATAAATTTTTACGTTGTAAAATGATATTTTATTTAATCGTGGCTGCTGACATAGAAAAAGCCTGCAAGAAGAAAAAATCAGAATACATGGATTCTCTTCAAGAAAAAATACAGCTTTTTTCAAGATTCTTGGATAATTCTTTTCTTGTCATTTATATTGTTAAACAATTCCGTTATGGCACATAGTTTATGATTAGATAAAGAAGTTGTCATAACATAAAATGTACTAAAAAATGGTTAATACTTAACTGATGTGTTTCTACTACTTTATTTTCAATTCATTTTTAAGTATTTTACTCTAAAAGCATTTTAAACGACTATTCAGGTACAGAACATTCACTGTGCTGAATAGTAAGGTAATATTTGATTGCACGAGGAATGAACACTTACTCCAAGTTTGCGTCAGCAATGTGATGAAATAAGAAAAAAATGGCGTACTGAAGTACACATGTTTTCTAAGTTACACAAACTAGTTTTATCGTGTTTTAAGAGCACCGCTACAATTTTTCCTCTGCAAATCCGTGATTAATGAACCCACGTTGACGAAGGTCTACTGTATTTTTAAAAGAAAATTATGCATTCCTTCGCAACGTTACGTTAGAAGTACCCAAGATAACGTAGACTTTTAATTACAGACGGAAATGTGAGGCCGACGGAAAGGAGGCGAAGGCGGAGCTGGCACAACGCAATATGTTCCCTAGCGCTCAAATTAAAATGAGGTAAATAGAGCCTTATCCAAGCTAGATTCATAAAAAGTGACGTGATGTATATTGCACCATATTAACAGAACTCGTGGCATTTTTTCTGGAATCTCAAAGGAAACTGTAGCATATTAGTATTTCTTATCTTAGACCATGGTATATATCTTGCGTTGTTACACGTGACAAACACAAGGTCCCAAGTAGAGTAAAATTGGCTCGTATAGACGCTATACGATATTATGTTTGTGTTTTTACTATAATTCAAAGAGTAGATGGTGTAAAATAGAATTATAATTTAAATACTTTACAGTAATTTACTCTATAATTCTTATTAATATATATTTCAATCTTAAAGCTATCACAATGTTACAATATCAATTCTTTAAAAACTCTTATCTATTGGAGTAAAATTATAACTCTTTCCATACACAGAAATGGATCTAAAGAAAGGATTTTTAATAATAAGAAGCATGTAAAATTTTTATCTATTATTTATAGAAATACAAGTAACCGAAAACAACATGAGTTGAATTCCAGTTATAAAAGAAAGCGACACACATTATCGGATCATTTTCATTGATCATTCTTGTCACATTTATTATCCTTTCGTAGTTTAAGCTTCTCATTGATAACCCTAAAAAAGTGTTAAATGAAAAGGGCGAGTCTATAATTTTTGAAAATTAGTAAATAAAGAACCACTAAAGAAACTAATTTTGTTTGTCTAACAAATTACCTATTTCTTTGCTTGCTGCGAAGTAATATCCTTTGAACTTGAACAATAAACTACACAATAATAATACGTAAATTTAATACAAATTAAAAAATACAAATCATAATCAGAATTTGCGTATCCGAAGACGCTCCCAAATTTTTTAAAGGACACAGAAAATCTGAAATAACACATTCGCAACCAGCAAATTTTTCGCTTTTCTAATACTCATTGCGGGTGAAAATAAAGAAAATCTTGAGCTAATTATCGCAAATTTCTGATGTTAAAACAGAGATAAAAGTCAGAAAACTTGTTGTGAAATATTAGTCTTGTAACGATCTGTCGTTTGAAACAAAGAGCTTTCCGTTAAAGAAGTCGCAAATGTAAAAGATCAGAGGAATCAAATACACCTGACCCCCAATTTACGCGAAAATCCGTTCCTCGACGATTCGTTTTATGAGAATGAAAATCGCATAAATAGAGTTTGTCGGTACAAGAGAAATCAGAAACTGAAAAGACAAGCTGATATAAGTTTCAGAAATACATATTTACTTCACATAGCCAAACTTTTATTCGTTGTTACTAAATTCAGATTGCGTAACTTAACCCATTTGTATCATACAGAAATATGAAGGTGATAGTGGCCAGAAAAATTGAGCATATGTATACAATAATGATACAAATGGGTTAAGATCGTGTATAAAAATTACCACGTATATAGTGTTCTAATTTACCGCGCAGAAATGTACCGCGTGAATTGAAGGCCGAATGCATTTTGAAAGAATAGAATTTAAAAAGACATGAATTCACGTCAACGGTCGTTAATGTAACAATAGATCGCAGAATAAAAAAAAGTATAACTCAAACTATGATAAAGGTTTGGTCGTCGCTTCGTCCTCCGTCAATGAATACGAGAATCTAAGTATCGAGGCGTAGACTTCGCTGCCTCGTAGACGGAACAGTGCCTGATGACGGCTAATATCGAAAGTATATCTGTCAGATTGCTGTCGCCAAGCAGTTCGCCGGCCACGTCGCCCACAATGTCGAATTCCTCGTCGCCGACGCCACCAACGCCTGCTGCACCGGCCTACAATCAGAAGATGACCGGGATACCTTGCGTTGCAGCCGCTTCCAGGTACACGGCTCCGGTTCACATCGACGTAGGCGGCACCATATACACATCCTCGCTGGAAACGTTGACCAAGTAAGCATGCACAATCGCGTATTCTGATTTTCATCTCGAATATTTATGACTGAACAATGCGAGACACAAGGAAGTAAATGCTTTCAACAGTCAGAACTCCCACTGTAAGATCAACGTTCTCAGATTGATATGAATTGATGGAGGAACTTTCTAATAAAAAAACTTGCGCATATTGTGAATTGTGATTTCTGAACATCGGAGACGCTATAGTAAATGTAAAATTTATTTACACGCGATAGGCAGATGTGCAAGAATCTCGGTTGGTGAATATTTCGACCTGGATTAGGAAATCTAAGTATTTTGTCAATCTATTTTCAATTAGACTTGTATTTTTTGTATGTTCTTTCAGTTAGATTTGTGTTCTTTACTTGTTTCCAGTTCTGCATTAAGAAGCATTCAATACTAAAGCAGTTTAAGATATTGGTGAATAAGGCAGATGAAACTTTTCACAAAATGAAGATAACCCTTTTTTACCTAGTATACTATATACTAATTTATTATAACATATGTTACTTTGATTGCCTTGAAGATGTAGTTAGTTATTTAAATTACAGCCACTATAACAAGAACAAATGTATAATTGGATTATATAAAATTAATCGTTGCAGATTTGAATTAGGTAGCTTCTGACAGGTTTATGAAGATTAATTTATAAAGGCCGGTGTGCGTATCTCTAACGGAATACGCCAACACCATTATAGTTTTGTATTCATTCATATCTCTTACTGTTCGAACTAATCCCGTCGAATGACTTCCTTAATTCGTATTGATGAATAGTCGGGAATAAAATTTGATACGATTAAAACACTTGAGTCATCGGCCTGTTAATGCTAAGAACTATTAACACTAAAACCACCGGACTGGTCAAATTGATCCACTTGAGAATTTTTATTCTGTAAGTATTAAGTTATGAAGTCGTTCTTGCGAAAGATTTTCAATTAAATCCATGCGTTTACAGATACAATACTAAGGCACCCTTCGAATCTCAAGAAACCCATTGTTCCATTTTTTATAAAAAATTAGAAATAAGTCACTGTAACTACTCAGTAGTTTTAGTGTTAAACGGATTCATATAATATTTCAGACATAATATTTTCGTCTTGACGTATTAATTTCTTTCAGATTGAGCATCAATGAAACTTTTGTGTCATTTTTCTCTTCAATGCATGTGTTTTACAGTGGTGGAAATTATTCTATCGACTTAGTTGTAAGGAAATTATTTTAGCAAAGTAGGAAGTCGCATAAATATTTGCAGTGTATGTATGTACGTGGAACATGCGAGAAACCGATTCAAGCGTCGCGTCGGTGCATACGCGAGAAGTTCACACGCGGTCCTGCGAGTCCATGGAAAGCTCGTCGATTCTGCTCCACGAACGACTACGCGACTGTCATTCTAATTTATTATGCGCTGAAAAGTGAAATCTACGATAATGAATGCGAGATAGGCTCGACCATTTTTGTCACTGATCAGGACACACGAGAGTCTCGTTGGAATTCCAACGGGATAGCTGAAATTTTTCACTGCTCGCTCGCTTGAGTAATGTGGAAACGTTGACAACCAAAAGATGGATTTTGTTTCCAAAGAGTAATATATTCGACGAGGGAAATTTGATTTATAACTTTACCGAAGTTAAATTAAAATTGAACGATGTAAGGTATGTGCTTATTAACACTAGATTTATGGATATTTACGGTACAGTTTATTATATCGTCCTTGGAAAAATTGATATTCTTTCATAAAGTTGAAATTAGTTTCTTCATCTTGTTGACGATTGTTTGAAGAGAACACGTGGTAACAAATTCCGTTTAACAAGTTGACCGTCATAAGAATTTTAAGCGTGTCCTATAATGTTACTTACCCTTTCCTAACAAAGGCAAAGAGTATCGGAATGAACTATTAATGATCTGACATCGTAGCTCTTATGTTACAATACTATTTAGTAGTAACTAAATAGTATGTAACTAAACATTTCGATTTGACATCAGTTCTCCCCTTGTAATTGTTTCCAAGCAATTTCAAAACTCCGATCATAGGTGACCACCTATCAGTGTGAATGTGTTAACTGCAACAAATTAGCTTCTATGCTCTTATATACACATATATATACTATATTAATTTTTATTATCATAGATAAATATCTATATTATATATATAATAAAAATAATAAAAATTAATAAAAATGAATGTAGTTAAAAATTAATGTACATATATATATATTAACATTAGAACTACAATACCAGTCAAAATGACTGGTTTCAACGTTTTTATTTCGTAATTATTAATATCTTAAAAGCATTGAATATTCAAAATGATCTTGAAAGCAAATAGTTTCACTTGTATACTATAATAAATGTCTGAAGAATCAGATGTCTGATAATAATCAATTATTACATTTTTTATAGGGATTACATATTAATCGTATTAAATGATCGGTAGTTCTAGTGTTAATACTTCGATGAATATACTCCAATCTATGCATTTCTCATTTCACACAATTGTATCGTTTATTTCAAACGATGAGACTGCTCAAGATTTTCATGGAAACAGTATATTCAGCGTAGAAAGAATACCGATGCGAGAGAGTAGAAAGGGAGCGTGATGTCCGGATCGCGGAAACGTGACCATCGACAACGCTCCAGGATGTTCGTAGCAGGCAATATCTCACAGAACATATCGCTCGCAATCAGGCACACCGTTACCATGCCCGACAGTGTCCAAAGGCTATTTGCGGTATACTCGTGTACTTTATGCATAAAAGAGACGTAACGTGAAAGCACAACTGCACTTTGCAGCCCGGTGAGTCTCTAATCTCCTCGAATGATCCCAGTAACAACACAGATGACATTTTCTATGCTTCTAATTACGAAAATAAACGATGAGAAACGTGTTAATTCGTAGTGGAAAAAAATCACTCGTACCTTAACGCTGCTTCTATTAATTTAATTGCCCAGTTGATACCTGTTTCAAAAATGTTACTGATGCTTGATTAAAATACAATCGTACAATACAGTTCTTGCGCAATGTTAGAATCAAAATGTCTTAGAAAGTACTTCATTCATTTCTGGTTACTGTCGGGCGATGAGTTCAGTTTATCATTTTAAATTTGATGCAATGTCATTAGTTGTCTGTCTCTTTTGCAAAAGTAGTAAACTCATACACCAAAAATTGTATTTTCAAAGTTTTGTTTTTAAATTTATACAGTGATATCTCAATTTTCATAATACAGATGCCAATTTTTCTAAAACATATCAATATTCAACCAGTATAAACATATAATTCTTCTTTGTTTCGCTTTAGTTTTTCATTAAAATATACCCTAAGTGCATTCGTCCTGGATTTGACCAGTACACATTTTTTCATTTTATCGCGCGCAAAACGAGAGATTTTTCAAACTAAATTCCACAGTTAACAAGTTAAACCGAACCAAGGAAATTCCCAATATACGAATATCCACTTTCATAGAGGGTAGCCATCTTGCTTCTTCCGCGTGGCAGCCTCATCGACTTGTTGCGCGGTAGTTGGCGCACGATCCCGAGGAGTCTTGCGTAGCACGGTACACAGAATGTCACAACGATACAGTTAGCCATCGAACGATATTCATGCCAGTGTTCGTTACGATCGAGCATACGTACGCTAACTAACCTCGACGTGGATGGATATCTGGTGCCCCTGTCGGCCAAGGGAATCGTTAGTCGCACGGGATTGCGAGCGGATCGAATCGGACCGAGATCATCCATGGGAAAGCTAATTTTAATTGACAACCAGGGCTCCGTTAGCGTGCGTTAACGAAATCGCTAACTGAGTCACTGGGTCTCCCCTTCGTTTCCGAGCACGATGAGCTTGCGAAGATTTATACGGGGATCCCGTTAGGCGAACTGACCGCGCGAAACAATGGATTAGCAACGCGAGATAACCGTTCGCCAATGATCTACCTACGCGAGGTACGGGATACGATATTATAATACAACTCTGTTATGATCTTCCCGGGCCGGGATCATTGGGATTAAAGCCTTCGATTGTTGTGATCGGATACTGGCTCATTTTCTCTCCTTACAATTCTATGCACCGTCTTCTTCAACGTTCTGCTGACATTGAATTTGCGATTCAATGTTGCGAGTAGAAACTTGTTGACGCACAAAGCAGAATATCTTGTTAATACGTTGTTGACCGGAAATTTTACGCGGAAGTTATCCCATGTCACCAATTATTATTCCGTAATTAAATGACAGTGGAATGATTTAAATAAACGTTAAGATAGTTTATTTATACATAATGAATTGAAACTTTGGATATATCTTTTAAATAACTTTCCATATTTTTCTTTCACGATATTCTATATTGCCTTGCGTTTCAAAAATTGAAATGGCTAGTGCAAGTGCAAATACGAGTTAACTCGTGACCGGTCAACAATGTATTAAGTTATTATATATTCAAAACAGTAATTGGTAATATATTTTGTTTAGAATTCTATGTTCTTTTGTAGTCGCATCATGATTAAAGAAGAAAGAAATTGATCTTTAACCCTTCCGTCCTTGAATATGTATTTATTTTAATAGAAATTTTGTGAAACAAATTTACGGCTACACACTAATCAACCAAAACACATGTATTGACAGCTGGTTAGTATTTAAGCTGCCAGCCATAAGCAAAGATCCTCCTATGGTACAATTTTCCTTTATTTAGACGTTTCTTAGCTTTCCAACAATTTAAAACATCCGTGGTACCATTCAGTACGAAAGGGTTAAATCTTCGAAACGTTTACAAAGTTATGTAACAGTATTTCAATCAATATAATTAGAACGCAAGTAACGTAACAACTTCTAAATTATAGGTGGTTCACTTTGTGTGTGACAATTTCGTAATCCACGTATGCTTCACGATAATTTTTATCACGTACGTTTTATTATCGTTTGTTAAAGAAAACTGAAATCACTATCATCTCCAAGGTACAATAGAAAATTTTTTTTTTAAGATTATTAAGTACAAGTTGTCAGGAATA